CTCCACGCCGGGAGCCTGTCTGCGGAGAAGCGTGTTTGGGTTCCCGCCCGTGTGGTGCACCTGCACCCATTTGTGCTTTGGTAGCCGGGGCGGGGAAAGCCTCGAACCCACAGCCAGGAGGAGGGTGGCAGGTGCGCTCATTCCCAGCTGAGACCCAGAAACGCAAACCCGCCCCACCCCGGCCGCTGCCCGCTGCCTGCCTCTGGGGAGGGAGGGAGCATCGCCCAGGACTTTAGGAGTCAGATTCCAGAGGCGAGTGACGCCGGTCACTTTATTCTAGAAACCTGAGACTCCGCGCCCGGCCTAAGGCCTCGGTCCTGCACGCAGTCGCCATGCGGGGCCTGAGCCCTGCGTGTCAGCCGGTCACACACCCCGGTGGGTACAGTGATAACGAGGCTCACTCACGGAGATGGGCTGGTGGCCACGGGCACAGACAGCCTCCCACCCGGGTGTGGGCTCCTGCTAGGGCTGCAGGAGAACGGGGCGGGCGAGCCGCTGTTGGTGTGGAAAATGACACCGTCAGTGAGAATTCGAGAATGAACCGTGCTGTGTACTCACCACTGTCGGCCGCTTGGCCCGCCCCGTGTGCCACGTGTGGATTGGTTCCCGGACGAGCCAGGCAGTTCTCCTGGTGAAGGTCCGACTGGATGGGGTGCCCTTCCTCGGCACTGAGGTTGGCACGACCAGGCAGAGCTTGGGGTCTTCGTCCGCTGGTGCCTGGGGACCCAGGGACTCTGAGAGGCACCTCCAGACCACAGAGTAGCCAGTGGCTCCCTCCCCGAGGTGCGGTCAGCGGGGCCACCAGCCGGGAGCGATGGTGCGGCCCAGCGGATCCTTCCGCTTCCCCAGATGCCCTTTAGGGAACCATATTGTTCATGTCACCGGGCTCCGTCCTGCGTCAGAGGAGAGGGGTCTGCCAGTGCCTGAGGGTCTCAGGGTCGGCCCCTGTGTAGACACGTGTGTCCATGCATCCCAAACCCAGGCCTTCCCAGGTCTTGACGTGACGGGTGGCCATGGGGAGGGATGGCGAGTGATTAAAAGTCTAAGAATTTTTTTGTTTGTTTGTTTTTATATATTTTATTGACTTTTCACAGAGAGGAAGGGAGAGGGATAGAGAGTTAGAAACATCGATGAGAGAGAAACATCGATCAGCTGCCTCCTGCACATCTCCTACTGGGGATGTGCCCGCAACCAAGGTACATGCCCTTGACCGGAACCAAACCCGGGACCCTTCAGTCCGCAGGCCGACGCTCTATCCACTGAGCCACACCGGTTAGGGCCCAAGACGTTTTCTTGGGTCCCTCTGTGAGCAGCGTGGTAGGTGGGGAGAGAGAAGCCCATTCGCGCTGGGAGATTTCTCCAAGGTTTCTGGCGGCGTCTGGCCATGCAGGGTGCGTTTCTGAAATTACTGTCTTGCCCTCCGCCGTTTGCTTGTTTGGATGAAATAGGCTGTTTTCTGACATTGTAATAGTCGTTCTGACACACATCTGACAAAAATACCCTTTCTGTGATCGCTCGTTCGCCGTGCGTGTCTGTCGGGGGAGTTGACACCGTATGTGAACGAGGTTGGTCTCGTTGAGGCTTCAGTGACAGATGGCTGGCATCTCGGGTTGGGCATCTGTCGTCTGTCATCACTTCAGGAAGCAGGGAAGTTATTTCCCCGTCATGTCTGTGAGGTTGCTGTTCCTGGAAGCGAGAGTTTACCCTCAGAAGAACCCTAGTGGGAGACCGGGGCGCCCCGGCAGCCGCCCCCCGTCGTGTGCAGGAGGAATCAGAGCGGGACGTCTCGGGCTTTCGCCGTGGACCATTTTGGTCTCAGGAAGTCCACTGCCATGTTCCACGACGCCAGCATCGCCGGCCCCCGAGCGCTGGGCGTCCCTGACGGAGGGCCGCCACCCTGTGAGGGGCTCGGGGGTGGTTCCGAGGGGATGTCCGCCTTCTGAGAGCGAGGGAGAGTCCTGCCCTCGCTCTGTGCTCATGAGGGATGACGCCGTGCGGGTTTCCGTTCCCTCCCACCCAGCTCCGGGTTTGCTTTACTTTAATTTTACTTTTCCGACAGGCGAACCGGCCCCCCGCCAAGCTCAACCTCCTCACCTGCCAAGTGAAGACCAACCCCGAGGAGAAGAAGTGCTTCGACCTCATTTCGCGTAAGTTTGTTTCTCAGACGCCGCGCCCCAGAGCAGCCCTTCGAGCCGTCTTCCAGGGCCTCGGCCCCTTTCCCTGCGTCCGTGGGAGAGCTGGTTTGAAAGAGAGAGGCCTGCATTTCCGGTGCTGGGCGTACTGTTCCCCGGGAATGCCCCCTGCCCAGCCTGACGTGGAGGAGGGCCCCCCACCCCAGTGCCTCGAGGCTCTACACGCCTCGATGCCTCGTCCCGGCTCCCAGCCTCCTCTCCCTGTTTGCAGACGAGATTATCCTAGGTCAGCCCATAGCCTGAAGCCCCTCCCTTCCTTATAAAAAAGGAAGCATCTGTGATGTTAAAAATGCTGGAGCCCTAGCTGCTGTGGCTCAGTGGATAGAGCGTCCGCCTCTGGGCTGAAAGGTCCCAGGTTCAATTCCTGGTCAGGGCACACGCTCAGGTTTCAGGCTCTGTCCCCAGTGTGGGGCGTGCAGGGGGCAGCCGATCAATGAATCTCACTGATATTTCTATCTCGCCCTCTCCCTTCCTCTCTGAAATCAATAAAAACAAATAAATATATATATAAAACTTAGAAGCACTATTGGAAAAAAAAAAGTGCTGCACACGATGGGGATCAGGCCTCACGAGCTCTCGTTCTTGAAACGGGTTAGTGTTCCGACCGCAGGACCAGTCTCCCTGCTTCGTGAGCCTTCCTTCCGGGGGCGCGCAGGGGAATCGCCATGACTCTGACCCAAGCCTGCCCGTCGCTTCTGCCGGTGGCCGCGCTCCCAGCCGCACTGTTTGTCCCCCTTTCCCCAGGGGTGGCCACCGCTGCCGCTGTCCTCCCCCTGCCTCCGTGCATCCCCTCTGCCAGGATGCCCCCAGCGTGTTCTCTGCCTCGTCTTGCTTTCAGCATTAAAGTTCACGTCCAGCCCGGCCGGCGTGGCTCAGGGGTTGAGCATGGAGCTATGAAGCAGGGGTCACGGTTCAATTCCTGGTCAGGGCACATGCCTGGGTTGCGGGCTTGATCCCCAGTGTGGGGCGTGCAGGAGGCAGCCGATCCATGGTTCTCTCTCATCATTGGTGTTTCTGTCTCTCTCTCCCTCCCTTTATAAAAATATATTGTAAACAATAAAACTAAAGCTTTTGAGACTGTTGATG